TATGGATACTTTCAAACCCACTGTCACCTGGCTAGAGGTTTCTTTCATCTGGATCTGTCTTCATTGAACACCTACAGTATTCTTTAATGGCATGAGACAAATCTTAAGCTGCTGTCAGCCGCCAGCATGGCTCAGCTTAGTTCATGGCAGTAGTGTATGGCAGCTGGACGCATTCTGCAGGCAGCTTCTGGGAAACGAGTCTCTGTGGCTGGTGTGAGATTGGGAGATGAGGAAGCCACATTTAGCCCCATTTGTGTGTGTGTTTAGAACCATCGTCTAAGCTTTCTCAGGTCTAATGGGGATGTAGGTGCATCCAGAATGTTTGGGCATCATTTGTAGGTGGACTTTCTCGATCAGTACAACATGAGACTCTTAATCTCAGGGCTGTGGATTCGAGCCCCCCATTGGGAGCCATTTGTATGGAGTTTTTTGGCGGGACCGCTGGTTCCCCAGTAAACGCACAGAGACTTAATATTAATCATAAATGCCCAGCTGATAGCTTACACTTGTTACTAACTAGCTCTTACAACTTAAGTTGACCCCTATTTTTTATCTACACTCTACCATGTGGCAGTATGTTTTTTTTTTCAGCATGGCATGTTCATTTTGCCATCTCCGAGTCTCCTGGCAACTCCATGTGACTCCACCCTTTTGTTCAGCATCCTTCTATTTGGCTTTCCCACCTAACCTTTTGTTCCCCTAGCTATGGACCAGTCGGCTCTTTATTAATCCAATTGGAAGCTACCTTGGTAAAGACACATCTTCATAGTGTACAAAAAGATTATTCCATAACAAGTGCTAGCTTTCAGTTTTTAAAGATTTATTTATTTATTATGTATACAGTGTTCTGCCTACATGTATGCTATGCCTGCACACCAAAAGAGGGCACCAGATCTCATTCTATATGGTTGTGAGCCACCATGTGGTTGCTGGGAATTGAACTCAAAACCTCTGGAAGAGCAGCCAGTGCTCTTGTGAGGCTGGAAAAGCTTCCATTTTTGTGCTGGGACCTTGTGGGTCTTTGAACTTCACCCCCACTCCTGAGGAAAGCTGGGGGTCGCTAGCCCCCTTTTAGGGAAAGTATTAGCTAATGGGAAAACCCAAGCCACACAAAACTGCTGACCACCTAACTTCACCTATCAGTTGAGTAATGATGGACCAATCAGATAGGATTCCAAACAGCCCCTGCGGTTAGCAAAGGGTCAGCAGATGTCCGGAGGACATGACCAGGGGGCTGTTGCTATCCCCCTTAGACAATAATAGCCTATCAGGAACTAACAGCTGAGCTTTACCTAACCTTTAGCCAGTTGGGATGTAGGATAAGCAATCTGTATTTTGAGACTGTAATCTTGTGACTGTCTTGTGGGTTTTGTCTTTATAAACGCCTTACAAAAATAGATGGGGTCCTTCTCCCTCCATCTGCTGTGTCAGACTGTGAGGTAGAGGACCGTGCTAGCCTGTAACTAATAAATGAAACTCTGCTTTTGCATTCAAAACTGTGTGGCTCCATGGTGGTTTTCTTGGGGGTCTCAGGACTTAGGTACAACATACACTCTTAACCTCTGAGCCTACTCTACAGCCCCTAGCTTTCAATTCTTAATGAACACAATCTACCAGTTTAACACACCAACCAAACCAAAAAGTCTTTTGAGCTGTGTGTTTGGTAAACTCAAACCTCTAGTTTTTGTTTTACACTAAACACAGATAAAAAATACTTTTCATAAAGCCCCAAATTCTTATATCATATTCACTGCATTAAATGGTTTTATTAATTCATAAAATTTTTTTAAGGAAGTCCTTAACCCAAGTTGGGGGAAAATAGCAGAAATAAATACAGAAGCAGGAATAGGTTAGATAGATTAGAGAAACTTCAGCTCACCCCACAGCTCACCATTGTAGTCTCACCTTTCCCTAGGGGCCTTACAAGTTCCTTTGATAGGACGTGGTTTGCTTACAGAAACATACCACAGAGTGGGTCATTGTTTACAGTGACATAAAGCGTTAGAGAGACGACTCAGCAGTTAGAAGTATGTGCTGTTCTTGCAGAGGACCGGAACTTGGGCCACAACATCAAGAGCAGGCAGGTCACAATCACTTGTAGCTGCAGCGGATGTGATACACCTCTGGCCTCCTTGTGCACATACAGTTTTTATATGTCAAAATGGTTATTTTTAATTGAAAAATATTTTTCATAAAACTTTAGTTCCTTAAGTTACAAGCTCTGTTTCCGTTATTGTCATTGTTGTTTTGTTTTTTGAGACACAGCCTCACTGTGTGGCCCAGGCTGGCACTAAACTTGAGGTCTTCCCGCCTCAGTCTTCTGGCGCTACACAGGCCTGCTGCATCCATCTACTTGAGATCACTTATTTGGAAGTAATTTCAAGCTTAACAAAATCCTACCAAGTGGAACCAAGAATCTACAGTGTCTAGTGCAGAGCCTTTTGTAGGTGCCCAGGTGAACAGGCTTTCTCTGCACTGCTTTTCCGCTCTCTCCACACACAGACATCCATACACTTCCCTGAACTGCTTGAGGGTCAGTTGTGCATACCATAGGCCCTGAAATGTAGCAAGTAAGCATTTCTTTAAAAAAAAAAAAAGGAACTTTATTATATGACCACAGCAATCAAGGACAGAAAACTGAATATTGACAGTTTCTTTATTGAGCCTACCATGTTCATGACTGACCTGATAGTGTGTTTTGTAACACACTCTACTTTCTAGTAAAGGTCCCAGCCTGGGATTAGGGTTAACTGTCACACTCCTAGCTCCTATACGAAAAGTTTATACATTTTATTTTTCTTTTCTAATGGTATTTTTTAGGACAGGATCCTTTTTTGGTAGTTTAATATTCTCTTTTTGTATCTAAACTCACATTTTACTTTAAGCATTAATTTCAAAAGTGTAGCCAGAAGCAAGAGGAACGAGCAGTTAGAGGTAAATGGGAGAATGCTTTCTCTGATAATGGCTTTTTATAATAAAAGGTATTTTTTTCACGACTAGGGAGATGGCTCAGTTGGAAATGTGCCTGCTGTAAGTGGTGGGTTGAAAGAAAATTATCTCCAAAGGGAGTAGCACTATTAGAGGGTGTCGCCTTTTGGGAGGAAGTGTGTCACTGTGGGGGCGGGCTTTGAGGCCTTTTCCTCAAGCTTCCCTCAGTACGGCTGTCAGATATCCTGTTGCTTGCAAGATGTAGGACTCTTGGCCCTAGCACCATATCTGCCTGCACACCACCATGTTCTCCACCACGATGACAATGGACTAAATCTCTGAACCTGTAAGCCAGTTCCAGTTAAATGTTTTCCTTTATAAGAGTTGCCATGGTCATGGTGTCTCCTCACAGCAGTACAAACCTTGATTAAGACACTGTTCAAGCACGAAGTCCTGAGTTCAGATCTCTAGCATCCACACAGAAGCCTGGCAGACATGGTGACCACCTGCAGTCCCAGCACGCAGGAGGCGGGGACAGGAAATATGTGGAACAGGCTGGTTAGCTGGTTAGACTGGCCAAATCAGCCAGCCCGTGTTAACTCAGATACACAAGGTAGAAAATGATTAAGAAAGATACCCAATCTTCATCACACACACATGCATATACACACGCGCGCGCGCCTAACAAGGAAAGCTGAGACAAGATGGTTCATTGCGTAGAGGCCCTTGCTGCCAAGCTTTGACAACTTGAGTTGATCGGGGACCACGTGGTAGAAAAGAAGCGACCCCACAAATTGTCCTCTGACCTTCACAAGCCATGGCAACACACACACGTAAGTAATTTAAACGTTTTTAGAGACCCGGGCATAGTGGATTTATGATGTGCTTGCTAATTTTTACAAAGGCAAGAGATTGAAATTAGTAGTTCCCCTGCGCCATATGGTCACAGACTTGGTTCTCTTATCTGCTTCTGCCCTTTGGACAGCAGGGGTCGCCCTACACACAGTGATTGCTTCTTTGCCTCGCACCCTTTCTGCCGCCCAGCAGGCTAATTTTTCAACCATTAGGATTCAATTATTCAACTTTCCCCTGGGCAGTATGGGTAGCCACGAACTCCGGGGAATCAGCTGACTTTTCAATTTTCCAAATATCTGTGAATGAAAACTTTTAATTGCATTCTAAGGAAGGGTATTACTGAAGTCCGTGGGGGAGGGGCACCGCTACTAATCGGCAGTAATTCACTGCTCCAGAGTGAACTCCAGGTGAGTTAATACTACCGCTCACCTCCGGGAGACGAAGGACATACTGTCCTTGGGTTCTCCGCATGGACAACTCAATGTGTAAGTGGGTACTTAGTGCCAGCTACTATTCCTTTCTGGTATTAACAAAACAAGGCCCTGAAACTGGATCATCCGGGCATTTTCATGGTGAGATAGCCTTAGGCACTGGGGCACACGTGGAACCATATTTGCTCTAGACCGAGAATGTTTGGTACTGTGTAGCAAACAAAGCTCCTGGAGCCAGGGTGGAGGACAGAACTCGTGCTTGTCTGTGCAGAAAGAGGTCATTGAGAACATGGCCATGGGCTGAGTTAACACATCGCTGTTAGAAGAAAGACAGACGGTGACATAAAGCTCGTCCCTATCTATCAGTCCCAGGACTAACGTGAGCAATAGAGCACTTGGGCCGATGGCAGCAGCTAAGGCATCTGGTTTAGTAATGGCTCATGTCCCAGGGCTAGGCTGCCCCCCCCCCCCCCCCCCGTGAATGCTGCCATAATTTATGTGAGGTTCCATAGGTCATGTGACCGTTTAATGAGTCTGTGTGTCTAAAGTATCTCAAACCATGGCATTTGCTCAATAAATATTAACATGGCCTGCCGGGGATAGATAAAGTCTTTAACTGTCTCACTTCCTGAATTCATTTCCCTTTCTTCTCAATCTTAGAGTAAAAGACAAAACGTTTTGCTTAGCCAGCCAAATCATCTACTGGTCACTCTATATGCCCCGCACTGTATCTGACACTAAGATTCCGACAATAAACAAGACACAGTCAGAACAAGGTCTCCTTACCTGTACAATAAAATACAATAGCTATCTCCGGCCCATAGATCCACACTCTGCCGTTGCTCGGATGGTCACCAGGCGCCTCAGTGTGTCTCAGATTCTCCTCGTTCCCTCCCTATCCAAAGCCAGGTCTTCTGCAAGAGCAGCAAATGCTCTTGACTTCTGAGCCATTTCTGCAGCCCAAGGGCCGCTCTCTGAAGCCCTCGCACCCCACCGTTCCTCCTTCGGCTCCCTAGCACTTTTTTTTTTTACAATGGCTGCCTTAGTGTTTTCTTCTTATTATATTGCACCATGTTTACCGTGGCTTCTCCTCCCAGGGAGGCACCAGGACCACCTGTGTCCAAGACAGAGCGCTTAGTGGTGGCCTGGAGCTTGAAATGGAAAGGTAGCGGTGATAGGCAGGCACGTGACTCTAAGAGCTTCCTCCTGATAGGCTGGTTTGCCGAGGGTATCATCTCACAGTCGAGGACCCCAGTGAGCTGAGAGCGCGCACAAGGGATTGGTGGGCACCTAAGGGGCATCAGCTACTAAATGGTTCTGCTCTCCTCGCTTCCAGCATAGTGCCTAAAACTGTCACAAAGGTGAGTTCAATCTTTTTATAGATTTTGAGTTCTTTGGAGTTCGAGATTCTACTGAAAGGGAAATAACTAGGTTTCACTGCTTAAATTCACTGATGAGAAAGTCTTTTGGAAAAACAACGAAGAAGATTTTTTTCAAAACTTCTTCTTTTAAAAAACAAAAATGTCACCTTAGATTGTGATTAAACAGATTAATTTTTAAAAAAGAGACAAGTTTCTTCTACAAATGGCTTAATTTCTATGTCATTGTTAAAATTAACATACAGGTGTATAGTATGCACATGTAGACACAGTCACACACATGGAGAGGGAGGTTGGTATCAGATGCTTTCCTCAATTCCTCTCCACCACTTTGGCTTTTGATTCTTCAGTGTCTCAATACATAGCTCTGGATGGCCTTGAACTCAACCACCTGCTTTGTTTTTACGATTTATTTATTTTATTTTGCTTTCTGTGTATGAGTTTTTCCTGCATGTATGGATGTGAACCACATGCATGCCCTCAGAAATCAGAAGAGGGCCCCAGATGTTCTGGAACCGGAGTTATGGATGATTCTGAACCATCATGTGGGTTCTGGAAACCAACACCAGCTGTTCTGCAAGAGCAACAAGTGCTCTTAGCCACTGAGTCAGCCCTCAGTCCATCATCTGCCTTATGCTTTGCAACAAGAACTCTCACTGAACACAGAGCTCACTGAGTTGGCCCTACTGGGATTGTGTGTGTGTGTGTGTGTGTGTGTGTGTGTGTGTGTGTGTGCCAGCTCTTTACATGGGTGCTGGGGATCTGAACTTGGGTACTCATGTTTGTACATCAGTCACTTTACCAACCTAGTCAATTTCCCAACCCTTGTTTATTATTAGGGTCTCATGTAGCCTAAGCTGGCCTCAAACTTACTACGCAGTATCTTGCTAAAACTGCTCCTCCTGTCTACACCTCCCAAGAGCAATAAGGATGACTAGCTTATTGATTGATAATCTATTCTAATGGAGACAGTTGACAGCAATTTGTTGACACTTTGTGTATCCTGGTCAGCTTGGACTTACCATGCCCTGGCACCCAAGATACCCACAGTCTTATGGCTGGTGTGTGTGTAGGGGGTGCTGTGTGGGGAAAAAAAAATCCACAAAGCAACAGAGGAAGTAGAGAAAGGTCTTCAATATTCTGTTGTTGTGCAGAGTTCGGCCGGATGGTTTCTGGTAATCCTGAGGTGCATGTCACAAAGAGAGACACAAACTGGGCCCAGCTGTGGCCCAAAAGGAAAATAAGAGGTACACAGTGAATTCCTCTCAGTCAAGAAATTCCAGGAGAAACAGGTTCACGAGAGTCTTCTGGTCTGGCTCTAGCTCTGCCCTTCACAGTGATTGTTGGAAGAGCAGGTCTACACTGCTGGGTGAGGTTACCTAGGTGCCCGCACAGATTAAACCCTGAAGCCACAGCTGCAAATGGCCTCACCCTGGGAAGAAGACGTAGCGATGACGTCAGCGATGACAGCAACCAAGGCTGGCTGAGGGTGACAAGACTTGCTGCAGTGCTCTTTGTCCCCAGCCTTGGGTCATTAAGAGCGGGGAGTTTCCTAAAGGAAATCACCGTGGTGTTCTACAGGGACACACAAGGATGACGACTCCTGAGCGTGCCCAGTGGATGCCTTCCCCTTACTCCTCTAACTTCCTGATGCTCTTCAGGAGGTCCTACAATGTCCCAAGGAGGGCAACTCCTTTTTTTTTTTTTTTTTTGAGGGGGTAGAGAAGTAGAATCCAGGGCTGTGATTAACTGCTCGGTCTTAACCTCAGAAAGAGCATCCTTGTGTTAGAAATCAAATCCCCACTTGCAGAGGCACCTCTCTGCAGTCTAGGCTAGGTACATTTCCAGTGCCTTGAAAGGAGAACAGGAAGAAAGTGAATGTGGACCCAGAAAGTCACATTACTATCAATATCCACCTATACTCTGAGTAGAACCTCCCTTCCGATGGTAGTCACACACCTTAATACACGGCCTGGCTTTTCCGTAAACCCTCATGGCTAAGAGAACACTGTGTCTTGGTCAGGTGTGCCACGGGGTACTTCAGCAGGCATTTTGAATCAATCATACATGACAATAAGATTACATGACAGTAATCTTGAACTCACCTCCCTGAAAACCCCTAGCTGATTATCTCCTGTGTTCCAGGCACTGTCTTCTGGAATCTGCAGACCCATCCTTACAGGTAAAGTCTGTTGTCTGCATTTTACTGGTAAGGAAACGGGGAGAAAGGTAACAGGGATAAATGTAAGAGATGCCATATAAAGATATAAGGAAGAGGGGCTGGAGAGATGGCTCAGCGGTTAAGAGCACTGACTGCTCTTCCAGAGGACCCGGGTTCGATTCCCAGCACCCACATGGCAGCTCACAACTGTCTGAAAATGCAGTTCCATGAGATCTGACACCTTCACACCAACAAACATAATAAAGTAAATAAGTAAATAAATAAAAAAAAGTTTAAAAAAAAAGATATAAGGAAGAGCCCAGTGTATGTTCATACACCATCCAACACAGTACATCCGATGGGAGGTAGTGGGTCCCCACACAATCCGTGCTGCAGTAGACTTTCGCTGGCTGTTCATTTCCAATCTAATTCTGACCTTGTCTACCAACAGACAGCATCAAGTCCCATAGGCTAAGGACTCCATCCCTCAGACTGCCTCTACTTTAGATGCCAGGGGCAAGTACTGGGTTGTCACTTAGGCTTCTGATCAACCAGCTCAGATGCAGACTTATGGTACCCACTGTCCCCTCCTTGCATTCACTAGGAAAGCTTGTAGCACAAGTGTTTAAGCTACTTATAAAGAACCTAGCCAGTAGTGACACATGCCTTTAATCCCAGCACTCAGGAAGCAGAGGGAGACAGATCTTTGTGAGTTCAAGGCCAGCCTGGTTTATGAGCTAGTAACAGGATAGCCACTCTCTTTTGATTTCTTTTGTTTTTTTTTGTTTGTTTGTTTGTTTTTTTGTTTTTCGAGACAGGGTTTCTCTGTGGTTTTGGAGCCTGTCCTGGAACTAGCTCTTGTAGACCAGGCTGGTCTTGAACTCACAGAGATCCGCCTGCCTCTGCCTCCCAAGTGCTGGGATTAAAGGCGTGCGCCACCACCACCCTGCAGCCACTCTCTTTTGAGATAGAGAAACCCTGTCTCGAAAAACCAACCAACCAACTACATCAAACAAAACAAAACAAAAAGCATCATGAAGGGTACAGAATGGCAGCCAGATGAAGGCAAAGAGGTGCTAAGTGAGGCTTAGCCTCCAGCTGCCTACACTCACTCATCCGTCTTTCAGAGGCCCGTCCTCAGTCCTCTGCCCTCTGCCTCCCATGAGCTGAGATTAAAGACATGCATCGCCACATCCAGCTCCAACTCAGTATGAGGCAGAGGGAGATGCTGCCATGCGCGTTTATATAGTGCTCAGGACCTGGGAATTAAATTCAAGGCTTCATCCGCAGTCTGTGTCCTCTGGGTTTGTTTTGTTTTTTTTGTTTTTTTGTTTTGTTTTTTTGTTTTTTTGTTTTTTTTTTTGCTTACAACGGTACTTTATTCAACAAAAACACACACTCAAAGTGCCCAGTTTTTGTGGACGTTTCATTACAAGGCTTCTATCTAATCAGTGGACACGGGTGGTCAGCTCAACCTTCATCTCTCTCCAGCAGCCAGCGGTGTGTACATGGGACTTGGCTGAAAGTCCCAGTCTTCTTTCTAATCAATTGATTTCCCGGGTGGGAGCAGATATTTCTCTCCTGCCCTCCTGTTTCGAATACCCAGCGGCAATTTCCCAAATAGTTGACTCAGAGGCTTAATATTACTTATAAGTGCTCAGCTGATAGCTCAAGTTTTGTGACTAACTAGCTCTTACACTTGAAGTTAACCCATAATCCTTGTTTATGCTCTGCCATGTGGTGGTACCTCTGTTAACATGGCACATTCTTCTCCTGTACCCTCTGCATCTGGCTGGCGACTCCTGACTCCATTCTTCATTTTTAGTTTGGTCACCTCACCTATACTTCCTGCCTGGCTACTGGCCAATCAGCATTTTATTAAACTAATATGAATGACAAATCTTTACAGTGTACAGAGGATTATCCTAGAGCACCCTGGCAATCAGACCCCACCCTTGGGCTGCAGAAGCCCACCAAAAGCCACCACACTGGAACAAAGGCTGCTCCTATCACCCAGGAAATTCCAAAGGGTTAGAAGCTCTGCTCACACGTGTTATCACTCAGGAAACCACAAAGGTCTCAGGAGCTGGGGGCAAAGGCCATATTAGATCAAAAGACTCCTCCAATGTCTCTACGCACAAGAAATCTCTTGTTATATAACACCACCACATTCTTCCTAACAAAAATCGATATACCATCTAGGGCAAGCAAGACTTTTCTCATGTGGGTGCCCTGGAGCAGAGCCCTCTCCTGTGTGGAGTAGCTTAGCCTTGTGTCCTTAAAGTGAAGTCTCCCCAGCAGGAGGCTCTAGGTACATTTCCAAACTTCTAGGTGGGACCCTTTC